GCAAAATGGGCTTGCAAAAAATTCTGCAGTTACAGAATTGTCCTGGAAATTGGACCGTCAGCAAGAAGGCATCATTTAATAAAACACTGGGGATAAGTAAAGAATGAGCCAGGGGAGAAAAGGATCAGAAGGGCTGTCACCATGATCCATCTTCAAATTCTTGTTTTGCAGAATGTGTCAAAGTTCTGGAGAAAAACTTGCTGAAGAGAAGCCCTTTGCTTCCTCTGCTCACCCTCAGCCTCAACATGCTGGCTTGCTGCATTTTACCCCAGTAGAACATGGGCTTTGTGAGCATGAGCTTGAGTATGAAAAGACTTGGAGATCTCTTCAAGCTGCTAAATTTTCTACCATAGGAATTTAGATTTGCAAGTCACTTAAACACTTTCAAAAAGTGTCACTGCATGCACTTTAGTCAAAGTACGCACTGGAACCAAGAACATAATAAGTCTGTCTAAATGTGGAATTCTGTTTGATTTCTAACGTTGGCCTTAACACCAAATTAACAGTTATTATGAAAGGTTGGCTGTATACTTGTTTCGATCTTTATCCCTAAATAAGCAACATTAGTCGTTTATGAGGATTACAAAAAATAAAATGCTTCTGATTGTTGATACCACTATTTTTATCTCTGTCCCTTTTCTCCTATGTAACACTTCATAAAAAATGTGATTGCTTGATTTTTCCATTAATTTTATTGCCTTCGAATTTAACTGTTTGTATTTTATTGATATGGCCATTGCTCAGTGTATGTAACAAAATCTAGTTTATAACAGTTTTAATGAAAATTTGTGACACCTGTAGGTTAACTATGTAAGAACAGTTTCTTTTCATTTTATGGACAAGGATCATTTTCAGTTAATCAAAATGATATGATGCTTCTAAATAAGTATGTACTGCTTTGTCCCTGAATGAACTGTGACATAATGCAAAAGATTAAAAAATCCCACAATGCCGCACAGGCCTTCACAGGTAATGCCACTGGGTCCCATGGCTCAGAAATTCTCTCTGGCAGCACTTCTGTTTGGAGTCTGCAGTGGAAGAAGCCACAGCCACGGAACCGCAGATGTGCACTACTTACGTTAAGACTGATCACCTTAATGGCACATTGAAATATCACCTAAGTTCTTGCCTTTCCCCATATTAACACTCACCCTAAAGCTGTGTTTCCCACAATAATCTTCCTTCTGCAGAACTCGTCATGAAGGAAACTTCAGGAGATTTATGAATTTATGCATTAAGGTATGTACCCATTAACCTATTTTCACTAGGCCCTTCAGACTTTTTTCTTTCGAGCTTTCAACAGGACACAATTGAGCCTAACTGATCCTCAGAACACAATTTAGAACAAGTTGCTGCTGGAAAAGGGCATAGCAGGAGCTGATGTGTGTTTTGTAGTAATGAAAATATGTACTTCCAAAGAAACATGTAACAAAAAACCACTTATTGTCCACCACCACTGTGGAAATTTTAGCCTTGTCATCATCAATATTAACTTCAATGTTCATCTAAATTTTCTCTAGAAATCCTTTAATAAAAAGTAATAGGGAAAAAAGTATAAAAAATAGTCATCATGTGGTTTGCCTTGTTTCGACATGCCCAATCACTATGTTGTCTTTCTGGTAAGGAAACTGAATTACAGCGTAACAGAGAGCCTGTGCTCAATCTTCAGGCAACCCTGTTAGCACTCAGCTGTGAACACTGAGCTGTTAATGCATCTCTCTACACGGAGGCAGACTTTGAGCTCTAAGAAGAAAACTCTCATTAGCATGGCTAATGAAGCAGAACTCTTTTTTCCTTTTTTAGTCACCAGAATTCAGATCTCACACATTAGGCACAAATTTAGAATGAAAAGTCATTAGAAATGAGATGTGTATAACGTATGTGGATTTTTTGCTATTTCTGAAATGGAAATTTCTTTTGTCTGAATCAAGACACTGAATTTGGTTAGGAATAATTAAGACATTTTAGAACTAATCCCTTGTATTTAAAAATATCTAGTTGCTCATGCAGTCTCTCTAAGGGCGCATGCACAGAGCAAAGTTGTCATAGATCAGATCTGCAATGATCTAAAGCATTTTTGCACAAATTGAAGTTCTAAAGCTTTGTCAGATTTCACAAACGCAGCTTGCATGCACAGTCTATTCATACTGGTCATTTGTTTGGAAAGACAATATTTAGAATATGAAAAGATCATTCACCATTCATAAAATACATTATTCCTGAGGACAGTGTGTGCCTTATACTTCAGTAAAATAACGTGCAGTCAATGCAAACAGCATACTAAACGAAGTCTAGCAAAAAGTTTTCTCAGCTTAAGCAAACGGCTAGATAGTGGCAAAACCTTTAGACGTTGTTGATATCCTCCAAAAATAAAGGAACACACAGAGTGTTTCTCCAAAACGTCTTGTGCTTTTCCAGTGCGCAAAATGCACAGTCAGATCTACATACTTGCCTTTGATATACTCCTATACACCAGTGTTGAAAATCATTAATTATATATATATTTAAATCTCAAATACAAAAAGGTTTTCTTTCCCGTGTGTTTTTCAAGTCCAATTGGAATTTGCCTAAGTATGTATTGACATGTGCTAATATCCACAGCAGAAACAGTAAAGTACAAAATAATCAATCAATATTTCTGATTTTTGCCTAATTTTATCCTGTATCTTTATACCTTGGGCCAGCCAAGGCATTTTGTTTTCAGAGAAAACATTAAAAAGAGAGCTCATCTGTGACCTTCTGAAGAACTGGAGTACAATCACTATGTGGCACAGAAACAGAAACTGTGACACACGATTAATGCTGGCAAATGGTGCTTGATAATCCACAGAAAGAAAGAGACAGACAATAAATTAAATCAAACAGTGTGATTCTATAAGCACTGAGGAGAGTGCATTAATTTTTTCTGATACGGACTCCTGAGGAACTTAATGCACAACCCAGAATATGAAGGAACAAAACAGCTTTTCCAAAATACGGGAAGCTGAGTTCCACCAGCCCTTTATCGCAGAACTAATGGGTAATATATCTGATAAGACTGTACTTTCCAATTTCTTTCCTCCTTTGTGCAATACTGCAGATACTCCTATAGTTGCCTTGTCTGGTCACAGAGAGCTGGAATTAACCAAGAAATCTCATGAATATGATGAAATGACTGAAGAAATTAATTTAAGGTCTAATGCTAGGTCTCCTGGAGACAACAGATCCTACTCATCCACTTTGATGGGCTCTTGACTCTTAAAATTAATTTTCTATGGCATGAAAAAACAAAATGATTGTGCTAACACACAATGAATAAAATGAATAATAGAATACTGGAATCACACTTTTTGGTTCAATAGGGTATTGTAAGTAGTAAAAATTCAACTTTTTTTCATATCTGTCAGCAGTGATTTTGCTGCAGCTTTATTCCTAAAAATAATGCTAAAATTTGCAGCTTTTATACTTACTGTGCTGACTCTTTGTTGTTTTTTTTTTTTTAATTTTTCTTATCCAATATAGAGAAGCATTATTTAAAATATTACAAGAGAAAGAGAATGATTGTAACTGTTTCTCCACTCCCTTCTCTGCAAGTGAAGCCTGCACACTTGTTTAAATTGTTTAAATTAAGTGCTTATCTTTTCCCACATTATGAAATGCTAGTAACAGACAATTTAATCACCAAAATGTGACTATAACCATAACCAACACTGCTGTATGCACATAAAACCAGAAATTTGATTCTTTACATGAACATCTACCTTTTATAGTGATTTTATCCAAAAAGCCCCCCAAAACTGTAAGAAGGCATACAAATAATAATAAAAAATCTAAAAGTAACCACTCTCTGTGTGTGCTTTTATATACAATCTGCATACATATCTGCCTGTATCTAACTCCCATGCTTTGACTTTAGGCCAATAAAAGAAGTGCACATTGCTGGAACATTTACTATTACAATAAGAAGAGCAGTGTTATTAAGTGCTCTGCTTCACCTTCCCTGAACAAGCAAATCACAATGTTATACTGTATGTCTGATATATATCTGCATAAGCTTGCATACTATAAAGAGTTAATTGTATGTTCAGGACGAAGTCATTTGCACTGTATGAGAATATTTCAAGTTAGCATTCTGTGAAGTCATGGAATCATTGCCCAGACAGGTCAGAGGGAACAGTAACACAGTCAGGCATCTGCATGCTACATCAGAGCATGAAAAGCACAGCTCTTTCACCTTGGCAGCATGTGGAGGTGGCCTTTCTGCACACGAAAGTGGAAAGACAACTCAACAGCCATGTCATTTTCAAACATAGCTGCAATGTGGGCAATGCGATGCGTTCTCTTAGTGCTGCTGTTTTCTCTTTGAATTTAGAATTTTTGGTTTTCAACTAGAAGGATAAATTAATAACATTGATGTGCAAATCTTAAACTGCATAGTATATATTAAGCAGCCATAGACCCCCTTTTTAGGGTAGGACCACATCCACAATCTCAACAAGAGACTAGGACAAACCTGACAAAACAGTAAGCCTGAAAGATCATTAATATCAAGTTATGGCCACAAAGGCAACAATTGCTCTTTTCTTCAGAGACATTACAGATGGAGCTGAGCAATCAGAAGCTGTAGAAGTAGTGGATATCATGTAAATTGGTTTTAGTCATGCCCTTACTGGATAAGTTCACAAGTAGTTTTAATTTTCATTATGCTGTTAGTATCTTCACGAACAGCATGAAAATTCATTGCCTTTTTTTAAACCAGAGTGTCCAAATTTTTAATCTGTCTGCACATTCCTGAGTGCCAGTTCTCCTTGGTGCTCACCACAGACCAGTTACAGGTAAGGCTGTTCATTTTCTTCCTCGGAAGCATCTGTTTTTCAGTTCCCATCAAAGCCTGCAGCTGTACTGCCCAGCAAGAACATATATACACTGTGAATCTCATGCATCTATGCCAGACTCCGACTTCATTTTGCAACTGCGCTCCTCCATTTCCAAACAGTGTTTTTGTTGCAGCATGGTAGCGACTAAGGCCATTCATGGTGATACTGTTTCCCATTTTTTTTCCTTTCTCTCTGCAAATGCTCCAGTTCAGCCTCATACATCATTTCCTGGACTAAGTATTTTTCTCTCCTCATTCTGTCGCACAAGTCTTTGGGCATGTCTGGAATCAGGTAGGCAATGAAAGACTTTATTCCAAAAACAAGGTGCTGAAAAGAAGAACAAAAATAATTGCTTCAAAGACGTATAAATATTCATTTATAGGTCCATATTTTAGGCCCTCAAAGTCTGTGGCAAAACTGGAACTGAGGTTCAATTCATGACTGATAATCAGCTCTTTAGGTTTTTTTTAATATCTATACACACATATATGGGAGTAAATGAGTAGTCTATCAGAAATGTGGAAGTGCTGAAGTCTTTCAAAAAGTAAAACCAAGGTTATAGTTAGTGACCTAAATGAAGATGTGACTGCAGGATATGCTAGTTTGAATAACAATAGCAAACAATGCCTACAAGCAGTCTTTGTTAAGAGCTTGTAATCAAATAACCAGATAGCAGGACTGTATGTAATACGTTCTTCAAAGTTAGTACATACATTTCTACCTTTATATTAGGCTAGAGTCACGTATCATTTTCCTGACACAGATTTTAACTTGTAGTAACTGTGCTTAATGTACACATAAGTTGCATTTCTTCTTTGTCAAATAAAACACGAAAGATTTGGTTAGGAACCAACATGATGTATAAGATGACTGTTAAGGAAATATAATTTTGGAGGGACTCTCAAATCTGTGCATGCTCTGTCAATTCAGTTTGAGGTGGCTGATTGACAACAATTTGGGAAGGGCGATTTTTTTTTTTCCCTCTTGACTGTAATGAAAAAAAAAACAATGATACTGAAAATTTATTTATGGGACTACTGTAAAAAAAATCAACTCAGACTTGCAAGAGGTAGAAAGGAATTGTTCTTTTCCATGACTAACCTCAAATACAATGATGAAGGCCAGCCGCGCTGCCAGGACATGCCAGAACTGCAAAGTGAATTCATACGGAGTTGAACTCCATGGCGGGGCTCTGTAATCTCTATACCTGTAAAGCAAAGCAAAACCTAGTAAGTTAGCCTGTGCTCAAAAACCTGAATACGGTGAAGAGCTCTCTAGTTTATTCCAGATCTGGCTAAAAGGAGAGAAACTGAAGTCAAAGCATACTTCAAGAGGAATTAAACAGAAAATGAGAAGAATAGTCCACAATACAGGCAAATAAATAGGGCTGCTTATAAGATGGCACTTTTTGTTTCCAAAAATACAGGGCTAACAATTTCTTTTGTTGTTACAAAGCCAACATCTTGGAGTATTAAGTTAAAGTGTGTTGACTCTTAAATTGGCTCTTGTCTTTGCCTACAAGCATTTGAGATTCTCCAGATAAAGTTTGCACAAATGTAACATGATTCGGTAGCTTAGTCAATTTAAACTAACTCTACTGTAATCCTAAATCTGAAATCAGGATGGGTGCACTCATGCAATGCCATATTTAATTCTTATGTTCAATTTCTTGTACTCATCTTGCGTAAGTGTTCGGGATCTCTATGAGTTAGAGCCACAACAAAAACATTGTGTATTTTAATTAATAAACCTCAGAATGCTCAACAAAACTGAAATGAGAATTTTTACCCTTCTTGACAGCTTGTGAAATAATTCACAGAGGCATGAAAGATACAGCTTGCGAGAGTCCTGGAAAAACTTAGAACATAGGTTTCCAGTGATAGTATTGTGTCCTACCACACAGTGTTTGTACTAAAGACTCCCATGTTGAACAAACTTGAACTTCAGTGCTTTTACAGGCAAAAAAGAAACTATTCCTCCAGTAATTTAAGCACTGACTTGAAATTTAATGTCTGTATTAACATCTATGCCTGTATTACAAGAAGGGAGAGCACCGCAACATACCGGCAATATCCTGAGTATCCCATTCCAAGTTCACTCAAATCAAATACTGATAAACTGCTGTTGACATACCCTTTTAAGCATCTGAAAGGAAAAGACATAGGGTCAGGACTTTCTTCATAAAGTGGTTATATAGCACAAATCCTGTATGTAAACATATTCTGCTATCACGTATTGTGACCATGCTATTTTATTTGCTTATCAGGACAAAAGCAATTCTAAAATTTTAAGCAGACAAGCAAAGTTTTATTGGCAAGACATAAACAACATCTGTTTCAGGGATAACACTGTTTAAAAAAATATTTTCAGTACTTTTTGTGGTTTTGTTTCTCATCTAACAGCAGATAAAAACCAAAAATTGTTTCTATAGTGTTCTTTACTGTATCCTAAAATTACTGAACTTAGAAAGATGGCTAGAGACTCAGAGAGAATAATTTAACATCCTTGCAGAATCTGCCAGCAATCATGTAGCAGATAGCAAAAGATGACAGATTTTACGAGTTGAATCAAAGAATTTTCACCAACAGTAAAATGAACAGTGTATATATAACAGCCATTTTTAAGGCAGCAATTTATTAGTACTTATAACAGAAATCACATAAATACATTGAATTATGAGTGTAAGAGTGAAAAGTTTGCTGTTCCTGGAAAACCATGGACACGTAAGACATCCCATCTTCTTGGAAATCTGTCCTGTAACTTAACAAAAGCCTTCCGGGAGGCAAAGAACATTTAAGAAGAGATGCATCAGGAATCCTATTATACCTACAGGTTTGCTGTGACACCTCAGATCACTACTGGCAAAAAAAGAAATAGAATTACATAGTTCTCTACTAAATGGCTAGTGCACATTAAGCACTAACATTGTTCTGCTATTGCCTCTTTTCATCCTCACCTGTCTCATTCTTTTTGCCCTTAAATTCTCTCTTCCTGGGACACTACAGGAAGAGTAAATCTCTACTTTGAATCATTAGAGATGGAGCAATGAGGGAAGGAGAGACAGACCCCTTCAGCTTGGGCTGAGACATAGGCTGTGATTGTAGCTGCACTGGCTGGCTGGGCAAGCCTTGATGCTTTCACTCTTATCCTTCCTCCCGTTCAATACAGAAGGTAAGTTGTGCTTGCCAGACGTGCTATAGTATAAGCAAATTGATGCTTCATTTTCTCAAGGTAACCCTGCTTCCTAGATTAAAAAAAAAAAAAAGAACAAAACAAACAAACAAAAAAACCCCTCCAAAACCACCCCATAAACCCACCTGTAGGGCACGGGTCTCTAAATGAAAGAGAGGATGCCTGTAAGTACTGTGATCTGTTCAGATCATTTAAAAGGTCATGAAAGACACTGGGAAATGCAGACAGAGCATGGTGGATATACAGTTCAGAGACATTTGTAAGTGTGTGGAGAGAAATGCAGGAAACTGGCTTGGTGTTGTGAAGATAGGCAAGATATCTCGCTTGAAGCTAAGATACAGTGTATATGGAGCTAGGCTTAACAGTGTCAAGGTCTATCTTGCTAGAGCTTGGCCACAAGCATTTCTGAAGAGAAGCAGGTGGAGAAGGTTGAGGGTGAACAAGGCTTAGGCTAAA